AGGAATGCCTTGCTGATAGGTGGTTTTGTGGATATTCAGTTTGTCTTAAAAAAAACCTGAACAAAATCCCTCACTCTCTAATTTCTCTCTACTCTTTTATTTGAGAGATAAAATACAGATTGTTTCTTCATAAGAATCCTGTGGAAGGAAGGAAGGTAGAAAAGGGTCACTAGCCCAAAGAGCTGGACTAGGTCAGCATTATTGGCAGAAGACGCACAGCGCCACGTCTGTAACCTCAAGTGCACCCGAATGCTGAAGCTGTCCATGCTGCCGTGTACCAGCCTCTCCCTCCAACAGCAGAAAATGGAACAACTGCAATTTAGGAGGGCGAGGAGTTCAGGAAGACACTGATCTCATGAACTTGCTGATGCAGGGATGAAGGGAGAAGAGCTTGTCCTTCTGTGGTGAGAAACAGTAGCAGCTTTGTCGTAAGCACACTCTGTAAAAGTGTCTGGGTGTTCCTGCTGTATTTCTGCCCGCGTGGCATACAGTGGGGTTTGGTGGACTTTTGGGTGACCCCAAATTTTAGGAGCCTGAAGATTGTTCAGTTGCAGAAGTGGGACTCATAGTGCAGGAAGGGCTGGAAGTGGGCGGATGAACTGCAAGGCTCATTTTTCTTTAAAAGTGGGAAATTTTCCTATTGCACTTCACATAGCTCTTTATTAGTATGCTAACACTGTTAAAAAGAAAGTAGAAGACAGACCTGCCATTTTTACAGTTCTTTAGAAATGTCAAATTTAGCCTGTCAGTTCCCATGTCCAGAATGGAAATGTCTTAAAATTTAGAGATTCTTAATCATGAAACTGGCTTGTGGATGTTGGGAAGCTGGAACAGACACCACAAGGGGCAACTGCACTCCTAGTGTAAGAAGTTTGGGGTTAAAAATGTCTGTTCCTTGCAGTCCTCCGTTGATAAAATTCTCCACCAAATGTCAAAGGACCTGCCCTTATTTTGACTGAGTTTTGTCCTTGGCGTCATGATCAATGTTCCCTGGCTCGCTGCTTCACTGAATTGCCTACAGCCCCTTAATGCTGCTTAGGCTAATTACTGTTTAATTAATCGTTTGCAGTCTGTTTATATACTCATCCTGTTTTCCCGCATTTAGTGTGTTTGCATAAGAAGGCGTGTTTCTATGGAAGACTTCTTACGGATTTGTTTATGACAGGAAATGGATCTAAAAGAGCAGTCGTGTCATTTCAGGGTGAAATCCTTGCTTGCCGTGGGGCTTGGAGCACAAAAATATTCAAAACATGTGAGGTGATGCTGGTGATGGTCCTGTGAGTGATGGTCCTGTGAGTGATGGTTCTGTGCTCAAGCTCCGTTTCAGGTTGGTGTCACTCTGAACAAGAGGAACCTAAAAAACTGCAACTTCAAAATCCGTATTACGTCTGTAATATTGATGCCAAGGGAGTTAATCACTTGTTATCTCGGTGTCTGTTCCCACTTTTGCAGTGTTTTCTCAGCGTTCATCACAAGGGATGTGAACATGTCACCCATGTTCTCGTGGTGCCACCTCGTGGGTAGTCAATCTTCTCTCCTCTTTCTTAATTTCAGCTCATTTTGGAGCGCTAATTTGGTGCTGCACAGAGCCAGACCTTGTGCAGGTTTATCACTGGAGAAAACAGGAGCCGTGTGTGGCGCTTACGGCAGTCAGAGGGGCGTAGATGAGCTGAGGCAGCGGGGACAAGCTCCCGGGCAGAGGAGTGCAATAACGGGAGAAGCTAATGAGGCACAGAATGTGGCAATATTGGGTACAATATTCCCAATGTATGGGCTGCTCTGCACGTCCTCCCCAGCCTTTTCCCCACGGGGCACCCTTCTCTCCGCTGCACCCTCCTTCCCTTTGCCGTCCCCACTGCCTTTGGCCCCTAAAGCCTTCTTACTCCTCCAGCCTCAGTTTCCCTCTCGCCTTAAAGTCCTCCTGGAGGACTCCTCCTATGGGGTAGAGCGGCGGCGCTGTGGCCGCTCTTGCGCCGCTCTCGGTGGTGGCGCTCCGCTGTCGTGTGAGCGGTGCCGGCCGGCGCAGGCGCAGTGGCCGCCTGGCGGGGATGTCCCGCAAGCAGGCGGCCAGGACC